GCTTTTTGTACATCTCCATGCATTTGATCTCTCTGCTTTGGAGCTCACTTGTCAGCTTCTCTAAGTTGAACAAAGAGTCACAAATTCACATGGTCAACCCCAGGCCTTCTGCCACTGTCAAGGCTTCAGGTCTTTGCCCATGGCAAGGGGAAGCAGGAAGGGAAGTATTACAGAATAGATAATCCCATCCCCTCCCTTGCAAAATGAGGTCACGCCTGGCAGACATGATCAAGGAAGTTAGTTAAAAAAACAACACCACCAGTAACTTCCATGGACTTGTTTGCAAGTTGACCTCAGGATGCAACAGAAAACAAGATGAAACAACAGGGGTGGGTGTCCCCAACACAGTAAATTAATCCGCCAATCACCCCTTTGTGTTACAAATTACACCTTTCAATAATAGAACAAAGTTCGAGTCCAGTGGCACCTTTAAGACCAACAAAGTTTTATTCAAGGTATAAGCTTTCATGTGCATGGACACTTTTTCAGGATGACTCAAACTTTGTTTGGTTGCTTCAGACCAACATGGCTACCCACCAGAATCTACCTTTCAATCAGTGTTCCCTCTAAGCTGAGTTAGTGTGAGCGACCTCACAGTTTTTTAGCCTCTGGCTCACACATTTTTGTCTTAGCTCAGGAAGGAGGGCTCCAGAGCAAACTAATTTATGCAACAGCCAAATTGCTTACCTACAACTTTAATGCCAGGAGCTCCCAAAGTGGAATTTTTGCTCACAAGACTCCACAGCTTAGAGGGAGCACTGCTTTCAAAAATAACTGATATGGCAGATCTGATTCTGCAGGTAGCCTGTATTGCCGGGTTCTGGCCACTCTACAAACGGGCAAGATCAACCAGTGCTCTTACATGCATATTCTTTGCTGTGACCCCAACCTTGTGGATTGGCCTGCCTGAGGTGGTCCAAAGACTCCAACGCTTCTGTCATTCTGCAAACTTTTTAAAGCAGAACTGTTCAGAACAAAATTATTGCCTTGCTGGACCAGATGGACTGATTTAAATCATGATGACTAAAAAAACTGATTTAAAATCACAGGGGATGGGTAAGGAAAATATAAATCATGGATTTAAATCAAATTTGCACCTAATTCCTATTTACTGAACCAGCATGCACACTATTGGTTGCTATAAGAATAAAACATTTTGGTTTTTTATCATTAAGATATTTTATTGTTTTTCACATAAGGTAGTGAATATAACCACACCCTGTAACCCTACCACTTACCATTCTCCTGCCCTCTTCCCCAGTACAGCCTATCAACAAAAAACAATGTAGGAGCTGCGTACGCTCAGGCAGCTAAGAATAGAGATTAAGAAAAGAAAAAAGAGGAGCAAAGGGGGAGAGAATGGGGTGGGGGGAGGGAGGTGAGAGGCAGCAATAAGAGGGGGAGAAGGTGGGGCATCACTGATCAAAGAGAGACAGGACAAAACATATTGCTTTGCCTTAACCACTGATAGACTGGGCAGCTATCTAACAGGAAAGATATATAAGTTACCTCCTAGTTTTCCTCTCACAACATCCAGGGCTTCCTGATATTTCTCCAAACGTTCCAGAATCATGTAATACAGCTCGACCTTTAGAAGTTGAGAGAAATGGGACACAACTGTGCATTAAGAGTCAGTACAATCCACAGAAACAACACAGCCTGTGCACATTTGTTTTTTTTTATTATTATTTAAAAAGGAAAAAGAGCATTCAAATACAGTAAAGGTGTTTTTATGTGTTTGTGGACATATTCAAAACAGGCTGAGCCATAGCTCTAACCAAAGGAAAGGCGATCTCAGGGAACCAACGTTATGTGTTTTGGACCTGACCTGCGTGGCCCAGGCTAGCCCGATCTTGTCTGATTTCAGAAGCTAAGTAGGGTCAGCCCTGGTTAGTACTTGGATGGGAGACCACCAAGAAGGTTCAGGGTTGCTATGCAGAGGCAGGCAATGGCATCTCTTGCCTTGCTAGCCCTATGGCAGGGGTGTCGAACTCATTTGTCACGAGGGCTGGAGCTGACATAAATGTCATTTTGTTGGGCTGGGCCATGCGTGCCGTAACATGTGATCCGGCCCTCGTAACAAATGAGTTCGACACCCCTGCCCTATGGGGGTCGCCACCAATGCTCCCTCTAAGCTGTGGAGTCTTGTCAGCAAAAAATCTACTTTGTGAGCTACTGGCATTAAAGCTGAGAGCAAGTGATTTGGCTACTGCATGAATTAGTTTGCTCTGGAGCCGTCCTTCCTGAGCTAAGGCAAAAATGTGTGAGCCGGAGGCTAAAAAACTGTGAGCTGGCTCACGCTAACTCAGTTTAGAGGGAACATTGGTCGCCGTAAGTTGGCTGCAGACGGCACTTCCCACCACTAAAAAACAAAAGGCAAATTTTTACCATCATGTTCTTTAGTCAGAGCATTCGCTGTCAATGCTAATGGGCTTCTAATTCTTGCTACTAGCATGTGCTTGCCGAGTAACATTCCCCCTCACATTCCCCCCCTAACATGCCAGCTTTTAAAGGCAGCTTTCCAGAAAAGACTGGGGTATGGAGCAAAGATCTGTTGCAATCATGAACTCCTTGTTTCATACCCCAAACTTTTCAAGAAAATGATATACAAATTCAGGAGAAAGTAGGAAAATAAAGGGCAATTTTTAAATAAATCCCTACCATTTCTGCATAACAATTCCTTATTCTTTCTAGAAGGCGGCCGTACTGGCAAAAAGAAAGCAAATTTGACCCCAAACTGATCAGGTTAACTTTTTTTCTTGGGTTTTTACATTGGCAGGCTGAGTCATAGCTCTAGCCGAAGGAAAGATGATCTCAGTGAAGCAAAGGTAAGTGTTCCAGACTTTCCCACAACGTGCATATGACTCTTAGCCCCTACTTTCTCTCTCGGAGGGTTCAGTCTCTCTGGCCTATGCATTGTCTTCAACGCTCTCCTCCATGTATCCAGCCATATTTCCCCCCCCCCCCATATCTGCTCTTGTTAACAGTACCAATATGCTGCATGTAAATTTAGCTGCACAAACCAGCAGAAGACATGATGACGCAAATTTAAATTCATTAAGGTCAAACATGAGTTCAGATATGCACTTAAAAAACTTACTTCGGCTTCAGCTTCAATTTTGTCTTCCTTCACCATTTTTTCTACCATCCTTTCCGCTAGTGGTAAAAACATGGTTTTCGAGAGGTTTTCATCCTTTGCAGATATAGACTAGAAAAGAAGAATACACGAAGCCGCCTTACTTTGAGCTAGAACACTGTTATTCCCTCAAAGCAGGCCTCCTGCTCCCTGTAATGAAAGGATTATTTATTTATCTACTTTATTTATGTCCTTCCTTCCACCACCCCCATGGGGACCCAAAGTGGCTTACCTCATTCTCCTCTCCTCACAACAACCCTGTGAGGTAGGTTAGGCTGAGAGTGTGTGACTGGCCCAAGGTTACCCAGCCAGCTTCCATGGCAAGGGCAGGGATTCAAATTTGGATTTTCCAGATTCTAGTATGACGCTTTAACTATTACACCATGCTGGCTCTCCAATAAACCTAAGACTTTCAACATGCTCAGTCCTTGTTCTATCGCCCCGTTAACAGGCCAGGCCAAAATAATATTTTCAAAAAACTTTTTAAGAGCCCCGGAGAACAACTTCACATCCATTATTTTGTTCTCCCCCTGGCAAATGGAAATATAAAGGCTTTTGCAAGAAGCATTCACAAAGAATTACTGCCGGGCAACTTCCAAAAGAGTACCACCGATAGCAAATAATGCTTTTCCAAACACAAGTAATTTGCACATTTGTAAAACTAGAAGCTTGGATGCATACCAACGAGCCACCTCTCCCAGTCACGTCAAGCAGTGATAAAATATTCACGCAGCAGATCCAAGCAGACAACAAATCAGTCCTGCCACTGACTTCTAGAAGAGGTTTCCTGCCGGGAGTTCAGATTTACAGTTACCTCTGGTAACAACCCCAGAATTCACACATCAAAGGCAGGAGTTAGAGGCTGAAAAGAGAGAGTTGGTATCCCGTGGAAATATTATAGGACGCTGCCTTCCTCTGCCTCTCTCAGACTATGGGACTGAACACAGCAGCATTCTGTTCGGAGTCAGTGAAGTTCATAGTCTCATAAGAACATAAGAGATGCCAATATTGGATCAGGCCAAAGGCCCATCCAGTCCAACACTCTGTCACACAGTGGCCAAAAATACCAGGTGCCAGGACATTAGAAGTCCTCCCACTGTTGACCCCCCCCCAAAAAAAAGACAGAGCATCACTTGACCCGGAGTCCCTATCTATACCTTGTGGCCTTGTTGTGTCTCACAGAGGCACCAAGAGGGTAATCAAAGGTGCACAGATAAAACCTTCTGGAACTCCCTGCTCACAGAAACCGGGGTTAAGCTCTATCACAAATCCTTCTGTGCTGGCATTTGCAAAAACTACCAAGCACCCTTTCCCCCCCTTTTTATATTATTTCTTATTTCATTTATATCCTGCCTTTCCCCACATGGGGAACCAAAGCAGCTTACATCATTCTACCTTCCTCTATTTTATCCTCACAACCACCCTGTGAGGGAGGTTAAGTTGAGGGTGTGTGACTGGCCCAAGGTCACCCAGCGAACCTCCGTGGCAGAGTGCGGATATGAACCTGGTTCTCCCAGATCCTAGTGCAACAAACTGACCCACTACACCCTACTGGCTCTCCATCTGCATTACTTCGAAGCAAGCGAAATCATTTCAAGGGGGACAACTGTTGTTTTCTGAGATGCTGTACTCACCTGCATGATTAAGCTCATCACCGACCAGAAATAGTAAGGGTTTTTTGGTACAATCTTATAAAGTGCCATTCCAGCCTAAAAAAAGGAAGGAGTGTGTAAAATAAACATTCCACATATGAGCGCTACGTTATATTGATTTACAGACCAAAGATCTGTGAACATTCTAGAAAATGAGCTTATTGTCAGGAACAGCCTCTGAATTACTGATTTTGTGCACTCAGAAAAATCAGAGCTACCTTGCTTCCTATTACATTTGGGTGGCAAGACCATGGTGCTAATCGTGGCGGAATTTATCAATATAGTCCCAAGTTCCTGTCTAAACAATGTTAATGAATCAATGCTAATACCGCTTCTCAGTATAGCTGATGTGACATTTTTGCAAACTAAGGCTGACTGGCTCCTAATGCCCTTGGTCTTTCCATATTTGAAATAATAGTTTATGTTATTCTATGGTTATCATTTCCTTCTCCGGCTCCCGTGGGTCCCTCCACCATGTTCTTTTCGAGTGGAGGTCTGTAGTACATTACCTACTAATAAGGTTCTTAAAACAGGGGTCACAGCTATGCGCTGTACTTCCCATGTTGACAACATAAATTCAGAACAGTTACTTTGTTTTCTGAAGGTTCTCAGAATGATATGACATGACATCTATAATTCTCTAATTTGTCACATAACATCCTTTCCTATCTATGTTATGAGTTCAGAGTAAAATTGTACTAAAGATATTCTGCTGTTAAAGTGCATTAGCTTTATGTTGGTCATTTTGATTGAACTTATGGTACCAGGGGGTATATATTGTTAAAGATTTGTTTGCTCGGGGCTGGCCATCCAACAGCTCCTCGTAAGACCTTGGTGACCAGTCCAGAACATTCTGAGTTTCATACAAGTGCACTACTTTATGCACTGGGTCTCTGTTGAATTTTCTATGTTGAATATTCAAATACTATGTATTCTGTGTTAAAGATTTATAATTGATGAAAGGCTTTTTGTCTTAAAAGCATACACTGGAATAAAACAGTTTTGTTTCAGAATAATGGTCTCTCTCTATATATACTTGATTCAGCCCCTTTGCCGGTCTCCATCCAACCAGTAAAATAACTCAGGGGAATTGGGGCCCCCAGTAAAAGTCCTGGGTCCCAGAATCCCACAACACTAATAATACACACCTGCACGAACACGCTCTGTACCACGGTGGGGCAAGTTAATTTGACTAGCATTGGTTGCCACACAAAATATTGCGTTGAACTGGAAACAGAAGTGCCAATCAGTTTGTATTGTATTGCGACTGAGACCTCCAGACTGCATATGAATGTTCTTTGTTTCCAGGAAAGTAGGGTCATTCAGCTCACACCTCTTCTCTTAGCCGAGAGAGAAATGCTCAGGCCCCACGACCTCCTAAGAAACATGACCTATGGAGCACGCTGTACTCCCTTCACATCTTCATGTGAGTACTGCAGTTCATGCCAATTCTGAATAGTTCCTTTCAATGTTACAGGAAATGTCTTATTGAAATAGATCTCCAACATGCCTACAGTGTTCTGAACATTTCATTTAAACGCTAAAAGCCTAAGTACTAAGAGTAGAGACTTCATCCATTTAGAAACACGAAGTCGTTAGATTAAAAAACACTTGTTAATCTACACTAATTATTGATATCCTTCTAATCAATGTTGCTGGCGCGATGGAAAATGAAGGGCTTTTGTTTCAACTTTATGACTGAAACTAGACTTTCAGCAGTCAATAGAAAGAGTGAGGGTGGATAATCCCAGTTTCACAACCTGGAGACAAATCTCTTTGCCTTCTACTACTTCGAACACAAGAGGCATTTGACAGAGCCTGTCAATTGCAGCAGGATACTTGAATAAAAATTGTACACATGCTTACGTGTGTCTCTTTTTACCATAGAAAAGAACAAGAGTCCAGCAGCACCTTAAAAACGTGTAAGATCTGTGGCAAGGTATGAACTATCGGACAAAGTGAGCAGTAACTCACAAAAGGTCATACCTCGCCACAGATTTAGTTAGTCTTTAAGGCGCAACTGGACGCTTGCTCCTTTCTGCTCCCACAGACAAACATGGCCACCCATCTTGCTCTTTTTACAAAACAGTAACCAAACCTCAGAACGGAGATTCTACAATTCTAACCAAAGGAATAGCCAAGCGTGTGTCCCTGGAGCTTATTAGAGGGTTGCTCCACATGAAACGGGTGACAGCACACAAGCTTCTCCGGAAGACTCTCTGCTCACCCTTATTGATCATCCCCTGAAATGCACAGGGGAAAAAGCAGGTGCGTGCCGCATACCTTTTTAGATACAGGTTTACATTCAATGCACAGCTTACTAACATACAGACTTCTCACACACAATGAAATGCCAACATGCTCAAGCTGACGGAAATTGACCTACTTGGCAGATACCCACCCTAAGCCCGCTTGTGGGGTGGGCAGGATACAAGTTAAATAAAATAAATAAAAATAAATTTGTGTTAGGTGCACTCAAAGGGTTTGGAAGCAGAGGGTTAGCAGTGTTAGCCTACTGGCAGAGCAAAAACAAATAAGAGTCTTCTGGTGTGTTACAGACTAACAAAATTCTATTCAAGCATAAGTTTTCATGGACTACTGCCCCCTTCGCATAACGAAGTGAGCTCTAGTATCAGAAACTCTGATACTACCATGACACTGCCGGTCTTTTTGTTGCCAGAAGACTATACGCGCGTGCACACACACGCACCATCTAGATTTTTAAACATATCTCAGCTCACAAATAAAATATCGGAAGCCAAAAAGGAGGTCAAATTGTTAAACAAGGCCGCATGTTCATCTGACATCAGAAGCAACCTGATTTGAGCAGAAGTTAACATAAGAACATAAGAGACGCCAATGTTGGATCAGGCCAAAGGCCCATCCAGTCCAACACTCTGTGTCACACAGTGGCCAGAAATACCAGTGCCATCAGGAGGTCCAGCAGTGGGGCCAGGACATTAGAAGCCATCCCACTGTTGACCCCCCCCCAAGCACCAAGAAGACAGAGCATCACTTGCCCCAGAGCCCCTAGCTATACCTTGTGGCTAATAGCCACTGATGGACCTCTGCTCCATATGCTTATCTAATTCCCTTTTGAAGCCATCCATGCTTGTAGCACCCACCACTTCCTGTGGCAGTGAATTCCATGTGTTAATCACTCTTTGGGTGAAGAAGTACTTCCTTTTATCCGTTCTAACCCGAACGCTCTGCAGTTTCATGGAGTGCCCACGAGTTCTTGTATTGTGAGAAAGGGAGAAAAGTACCTCTTTCTTTACCTGCTCTTTCCCATGCATAATCTTATAAACCTCGATCATGTCACCCCTCAGTCGTCTTTTCTCCAAGCTAAAGAGCCCTAAGCGCTTTAACCTTTCCTCATAGGGAAAGTGTTCCAACCCTTTTATCATTCGAGTTGCCCTTTTCTGCACTTTTTCCAAAGCTATAATATCCTTTTTAAGGTGTGGTGCCCAGAACTGCACACAGTATTCCAAATGAGGTCTCACCATTGATTTATATAGGGGCATTATTATATTGGCTGATCTGTTTTCAATACCCTTCCTAATAATCCCCAGCATAGCATTGGCCTTCTTTATTGCAGTCACACACTGTCTCGACATTTTCAGTGAGTTATCCACTACAACTCCAAGATCTCTCTCTTGCTCAGTCTCTGCCAGTTCAGACCCCATCAATGTGTATTTATATTTAGGATTTTTGGCTCCAATGTGCATCACCTTGCACTTGGCCACATTGAACCCCATTTGCCATGTTGACGCCCACTCGCCCATCCTTGACAGATCCCCTTGGAGTGCCTCACAATCCTCACTGGTTTTCACCACCCTGAACAACTTTGTATCATCCGCAAATTTAGCCACTTCACTGCTTACTCCCATCTCCAAATCATTAATGAACAAGTTAAAAAGCAGTGGACCAAGTACTGATCCCTGCGGTACCCCACTGCTTACCACCCTCCACTGAGAAAATTGCCCACCTACACTCACTCTCTGTTTTCTATGAACTAGCCAGTTTTTGATCCATAAAAGGACTTGTCCTTCTATCCCATGATTTTTGAGCTTACTTAGGAGCCTTTGATGAGGAACTTTATCAAAAGCTTTCTGGAAGTCAAGGTAAATAATATCTATTGGATCCCCCTTGTCCACATGTTTGTTCACCCCCTCAAAGAACACTAACAGGTTAGTGAGACAAGATCTTCCCTTACAGAAACCGTGCTGAGTCTGCCTCAATAGGTTTTGTTCATCTATGTGCCTACTAATTCTTTCCTTAATAATGGTTTCCACCAATTTACCCGGTATCGACGTCAGACTGACTGGCCTGTAATTTCCCGGATCTCCTCTGGAACCCTTTTTAAAGATGGGAGTGACATTAGCTACCTTCCAATCCTCAGGAATGGAGGCAGATTTTAAGGAAAGATTACATATCTTTGTCAGGAGATCTACAAGTTCACATTTGAGTTCTTTCAGAACTCTCGGATGTATGCCATCTGGGCCTGGTGATTTTTCAGTTTTTAAGTTGTCTATCAGTTTTAGGACCTCCTCTCTCGTCACCTCAATCTGACTCAGGTCTTTCAACACCCCTCCTGAAATCAGTGGTTCTGGAGTGGGCAAGCACTTCTCATCTTCCACAGTGAAGACGGAGGCAAAAAATGCATTTAGCTTCTCAGCCATTTCCCTATCATCCTTCAATACTCCTTTTACCCCTTGGTCGTCCAAGGGCCCCACTGCCTCCCTGGCTGGTTTCCTGTTTCTAATGTATTTGAAGAAAGTTTTATTGTTGGTTTTTACGTTTTTTGCTATATGCTCCTCATATTCCCTTTTTGCCTGCCTGACCTCAGACTTGCATTTTATTTGCCATAGCCTGTGTTCCGTTTTATCAGCCTCACTGTGACTAGCTTTCCACTGCTTAAAGGAATTCTTTTTACTTTTTACAGCCTCCATTACTCTGTTTGTTAACCATGCAGGCTTTTTCCTATACCTGTTTGTGCCTTTCCTAACCTGCGGAATATATATTTTTTGAGCTTCTAGGATCGTAGTTTTAAATAGATCCCAAGCTTCCCCAATTGTTTTGACCCTTTCTACTTTTCCTTTCAGTTTCCTCCCCACGTGTCCCCTCATATCAGAGAAATTACCCCTTTTAAAGTTAAAAATGGTTGTGTGAGTCTTTTTGGCCAATTCTCTATTTGTACAAATGATGAACTCAACAACATTATGATCACTGTTTCCAAGCGGTGCAATCACTTTTACATCTCTCACCAGGTCTTGAGTGTTACTTAGGACCAAATCAAGGATCGCCTCTCCCCTGGTAGGTTCCGTGACCATCTGCTCCATAGCACAGTCATTTAGAGTGTCTAGAAACTCAATCTCTTTTTCCCGGCTAGAACACATATTGACCCAATCAATGTGTGGGTAGTTAAAATCACCTATTATTACACAGTGTTTTTGTCTAGTTGCTATCTTTAAGGCATTCATCATTTTATAATCCTCCTCTATCTTTTGATCTGGTGGGCGATAACAAACTCCCAGTGTTAAGTTTCCTTTTGGCCCCCCTATTTCAACCCATAGAACTTCCAGAAGCGAATCCAATTCACTTAGCCTCTCAATCTTTCTAGACTTTATACCCTCTCTGACATACAGAGCTACCCCACCTCCAACCCTTCCCCCCCTATCCTTCCGATATAATATATAACCGGGAATCACTGTGTCCCACTGATTTTCCTCATCCCACCAAGTTTCAGAAATACCCACAATGTCTATTTTTCCCTCCGACACCAAGCACTCCAACTCCCCGATTTTACCTCGGACACTTCTAGCATTTGTATAGAAACAGCTGTAATTTCCCTTACAAGTTAAGCCTGCATCCTTCCTCTTGCTATCTCGAGTCGTTGTCCGGCAGTCCATGTCACCAGCCATGGCCTCTGTGGACAATTTCAATCCACCTCCCTGTAGAAAAGCAACCGGTACCCCCTCACCTCTCTCAGATGAGCCAACCCGAACCAGAGACTTTTCATCTCCTGTCGGCTTTCCCCCAATATTCAGTTTAAAAGCTGCTCTGCCACCTTTTTGATTTTAAGTGCCAGCAGCCTGGTTCCTTCTCGGGACAAGTGGAGACCGTCTCGCCTGTACAGCTCCCTCTTGTTCCAAAAAGTATCCCAGTGCCTAACAAACCTGAACCCTTCCCCCCTACACCATCGTCTCATCCACGCATTGAGACTCCTGATCTCTGCCTGTCTCTCCGGCCCTGCGCGTGGAACAGGTAACACTTCTGAGAAGGCTACCTTGGAGGTCCTGGACCTAAGTTTCCTGCCCAGCAGCCTAAATTTCTCCTCCAGGACCTCACGACTGCATTTCCCCACATCGTTGGTGCCGACATGCACCACGACCACTGGCTCCTCCCCAGCACTATCTACCAGCCTATCTAAAACACGCGTAATGTCCGCTACCTTCGCACCAGGCAGGCAAGTCACCATACGGTCAGTACGCGGGTTCGCCACCCAGCTGTCTACCTGCCTAAGGATCGAATCACCAACTACCAAGAGCCCCCCTCCCACCCCGCTCAGGGATGGTTCCTTGGTGCAAAAGGAGAGCCGCTCACCAGCTGGGGAAGAGGTCCCTTCTGAGGGCACATTCCCCTTATCCTCAGCATGGTGCCCTGTTTCCCCTAGACCCTCATGCTCCCTGACAGCAGCGGGGCTGCCAGATCCAGAGTGGGACGTAGCTAACAAGTCCCCGAGAGTCTTTTCTGTGTGCCTAGCTGACTGTCTCTGCTTCTCCAGGTCAGCCACCTTGGCCTCAAGGGAGCACACACGTTCCCTGAGAACCAGGAGCTCCTTGCACCGAGGACACAACTGATAGCCTGCACATATAATATGCTTAACAGTCAGAAGAGGTCTTCATCAGGTCATCAGGCCTTTCTAGCAGGCCCATTCATTCCCAAACCAAAAGAGGCTTGGTCTGCACCGTCATTCTGGCAAGTACCTGTTGCATCTTCTTGTATTCTCCAACCCTTGCATAGGCCATGAAGAGATGGGAGTGATACTCTTCGCTGCTGGGGACCTTCTTCACAGCTGCCTCGTAGAGTTTCGTCACCAGCTCCGCTACAACAGATCATGACATTTTAATAAACATGGGCATTTGTGTAGGGCTACATCATGTAGCGACAATGAGCCTGTGTTAGATACAACAACCCAAAAGGAACTTCATAAAGAACTGGGTTTCACAAGAGGCTCCAAAAATTTCTAAGCAAGGCCAAGAATGGGAGAAAAATGTTCACCAATTTTTAGGGACCGACAATTTCCCCAGAACCGCCTGCCTAGAATATTTTGTGCACATTTTCCCCTGCAACCTGTATTTAACTTTCTATAATACAAACTCTATGACATACTCTGTTTAGTACTGTGCTTGTTTCTGATTTCTGCTTTGTATTGATTGCACTGACTTACATTCTGTAATCCGCCTTGAGCTTCAGAGAGAAAAACAGACTACAAATGATGTAAATTATTTTTACAAAAATTATGATTTAATCTGCTGCCCCTCCCCCTGTTATGTCCAGAATGGATGTCACCCCATTCAGGGCATGCTTTTGAACTGACTGCGCCAATAAGTCCTCATTGACAGCCCCGAGAATATTTAAAGTTATGGCCCTACCTGAAGGACCAAGGAGAAAAATAAACTGGGAAACCTACGTCTATGCATTTCCCGGTAAAGGATAGTGAGAGCTTGTAATGAATTGTCATCCGTGGGTTCAAGGGCTGCTACTTCTTGAGCCAAAGTGAATGCTTCGTCTTGTTTCCCAGTTCTCTGCAGGCCAATGGCTTTCAAAACCTGTCCAGAAAGGAAGAAGCAGCTTTCAAGGACTTTCTCAGCAGCTATAAAAAGGAAGTTTCTCTTAAAAGGAAATACTGCAGAGATGCACAGTGACGGGTGCGAGGGTAACAACAAGACTGCCCCCTCTCCTCTATCCACCAGACAACAGGGTCACTCAGCTAACTACCCTGAACCCTGTAAGCCCCAGCTCTGGCAGACCTCACTTGGACAAGAAGTGGCACACCAAGGAGGGGTTATAAGGCTTTGCTACTACTGTGGATGAATAAATAATTTCTTTATTACAGTTGCAGACCAGTTCTAAAATACACACAATAGCCCCATTAAAACCTAAACTGTCGAAGGCTTTCACGGCCGGAGTTCATTAGCTGTTGTAGATTTTCTGGGCTGTATGGCCGTGGCCTTGGCACTGTAGGACCTGACGTTTCGTCAGTTGCTGTGACTGGCATCCTCAGAGGTATAACACAGAAAGATGGAGTACTTTCTGTCATTTTCTTCTCACCTTGACAGAGAGTACTCCTCCTCAGGAAACAATCCATATACAAAAGAACCTCCTCAGGAAAGCTCCTCCATTAGCATGTTCACAGCCTGGGGAACTCCTACAAGATAATGACTCAGCCCTACCCCACTTTCCTGAGTACATATAAATTACCTGCCTACCATTTTCTTCTTACCTTGACACAGAGAGTACTCCATCTTTCTGTGTTATACCTCTGAGGATGCCAGTCACAGCTGCTGGCGAAACGTCAGGTCCTACAATGCCAAGACCATGGCCATACAGCCCGGAAAATCTACAACAGCTAAAGTTTTTTATTTCCTCAGGTTTTGCTAAGATAGTTAACACTCATAGTGAGATATAAATCTGGGACTCACCAGAGGTGTTAACTAGTTCAGCAAAGTTAATGAATGGTCTCTGTTTTTTTCCTGATCATGACTTCCTGCATGTCATGCTTTCTGACCCAGCTGTTTCTTTTCATATTTCCCACATAAAATGACAGCATTGCGAAGATCCATTTATTGCATCTGAAAGGTGGGGTCTAGCCCATGAAAGGTCACACTGGAATAAAAACGTGACTTCTCTTTAAGATGCCACAAGACTCCTAAATGTTTTTCCTCTGCAACAGACTAACAGGGTTACCCCTCTGGAATGAGTCCCATAGCTAAATACTTGGCCATTACTTGAAAATAGTTAACTCTATTTAACTCGCCAATTGACCAATGTTAATTTACATTGCTCTAATTCACCGTGGTAAGAAACAAAAAGCTGAAAATGATTAACTTTTACTCTGCTGCAATTTAGGTGCTTGGCTAATGCAGCAAAGTTGACCTCGTTTAAGTTCGGAGAAAGGCAGGGCACCGAAACTACGATTAAACAAAAATGGGAAATCATTATGCAGAAGGGGTTTCAAAGAATGAACACCCCTCTTACAGAAAGCTGACATAAAAGTAGCGGGGGGAAGGGAAAAAAAATCTTACTTCTCCGAAACAGCCGCCTCAGATGCTCCACCCCAACCAGTGCTGGCAAGGCAACAGCAAAAGAAGACTGTAGGCCCTGACTTGTTTAAGATTCAAGACAGACAGTTTTGCAAGTTAAAACAAACGAACCCTGAGCTCACCTTCGCACAGTGAAGATCTTTGTGTTTTTTCAGCAGCTTGTCTGCCTGCTGGATTGCCATTTTATTATTGCCATTATCAAGGTAATCTAAAGAAAGAAAAGACACAAAGTGGTTACAACCACAAACTGGAAAGCTAGGGTTCCTACCCCCCTAGGCCTCTTGGTGGCTACATTCACATTTGGCTTAATATTGGAGGGTTTTTTTTAGATGATTTCAGGGGAACAGGATCAAGGTGTACAAGATTATAATGAACAGAACAGAGGCAATATTTAACTCTTCATTTAAAACACTTGTATCCTGGCTTATCTCCTAGGACTCTCCCACCCCTCTCACAATGCTAGAATTTGGGGTTGCCTGCTGAGTTAGAATACACAAACCAAAAAAAGGACAGAGAGACCATATTTCAGCGAGCAAAGAACCTGTTTTGCTTCTGTAAGGTTCTGGGTTCAACTTCAGACTCTTGTAGTTAAAACGATCTCAGGTATCAGGTGTCTGGAAAGCTCCTTTTCCACCCAAGACTCTTAAGACCCACTGCTACACCACAAGCAATACTAGATCACTGGTCTGATTTGATATTATAGAGATCCAAAACGAAGTGGTTCTTCACCCATCACTTATCCACCAGTTAAATACAGAAGCGGAATTCAAAAACAGTGTCCCGTAAAAATTCATAACCGGTTATTTGCTCTTTCTTGCTCATCTGGACACAGGTTGTTCCTGAAGTTCACACATCTGGGTGCGTAAGCGCTGCATATATTTCAGGAGTGTGTGACCCACGCAATTAACTCAAGCAATGAATGGATGTTTTGCTATCCATTTAACGGAAGCAGGAACATGATAAATTAAGACCAAGCAATAAAACACGCCAATAAAAACAACCAATAAAAGGTGTATAAAACAAAAATAATAGCCTAAAATCATATTGATGAAACAGTCCTCAGGCTAGGGGCAGACCATAAATCTGCTGCAAAAGATGGAACTGCTTAGTTAAAAGCCTAGATAAGGAAGAAGAAGAGATTGGATTCATACCCCGCCCTTCACTACCCAAAGGAGTCTCAGAGCGGCTTACAAACCCCTTACCCTGCCCCTCCCCACAACAGACACCCTGTGAGGTAGAAGAAGAAGAAGAGATTGGATTCATACCCCGCCCTTCACTACCCAAAGGAGTCTCAGAGCGGCTTACAAACCCCTTACCCTGCCCCTCCCCACAACAGACACCCTGTGAGGAAGGTGGGGCTGAGAGAGCTCTGACAGACACTGCTCTTTTTCAAGAACAGCTCTGACAGAACTACAGCTTGCCCAAGATCACACCAGCAGCTGCAAGTGGAGGAGTGGGGAATCAAACCCGGCTCTTCCAGATTAGAGTCCGCGCACTCAACCACCACACCAAACTGGTGTAAAAGTTTAGGTAAAGAGGAAATGTTTCGGCCTAGGCTCTGAAGGAAAGCAAACCAAACCAAATGAGCCTTAGAGGAAGGGCATTCCAAAGGCAAAATGCCAATACCGAAAAAGCCCTGCCACTGATCATGATCTGCCTAACCTCTGCATACAAGGCAACGAGCGCAGGGTTTGAGAAAAGGCTATTAACTGGTGAGCCCTACAATACGGGGAAGGCGGTTCTTCAAGTACCCTGGTCCCAAGTCACTCAGGGCCACACAGGTAAGAACCAGGATTTAAATTGTTCCTGGAAACAGACGGGCAGATGTCGTATGTACATCTTTCAACACAGGGATGATATAATCCTGGCATCCAGGAGTGACAACTTGCCACTGCATTCTGGACCAATCTGAGTCTCCAAACAGTTTTCAAAGGCAGCCCCATTTAGAATGCATTACAATATAATTTTGCTGTGATCAAAGGACCGATCAGCGTGGCCAAATCACGCTTTTTGAGGAAAAGCCAATAAGAGGAGATTGGATTTATACCCCACCCTTCACTACCCAAGGGGGTCTCAGAGTGGCTTACAATTCCTTTCCCTTCTCCTCCCCTGTGAGGTAGGTGGGGCTGAGAGAGGTCTCTCAAGAACTGCCCTTGAGAGAACAGCTCTGAGAGAACTTAGGACTGACCCAAGGTCACACCAGCAGCTGCATGTGGAGGAGTGGGGAATCAAACCTGGTTCTCCCAGATTAGCGTTTGAGCTCCTAACCACTACACCGGACTGGCTCTCTAACCGGCGTATCAGTGGAAGGCCAGGGCAGAGCAGTACCCCCAGCCGACAAACCTGCTCCTTCAGGGAGAGTGCAGCCCCCCTCCAGGACAGGCTGACTCCTCAGCCCTTGTGTGTCTTTGTCACTGACCACTACTGCCTCGGTCTTGTCTGAACTGAGCATTAGTTCAGTAGATTCCCCTCCATCCCCATTACCTTTCCTTAGGCACCTGTCTGCAGATTCAAATACCTGCCTGACTCATAAGAACATAAGAGAAGCCAATGTTGGATCAGGCCAATGGCCCATCTAGTCCAACACTCTGTCACACAGTGGCCAAAAATACCAGGTGCCATCAGGAGGTCTAGCAGTGGGGCCAGGACACTAGAAGCCCTCCCACTGTTGCCCCCCTCCCAAGCACCAAGAATACAGAGCATCCCTTGCCCCAGCCTGAGAGTTCCTATCTATACCTTGTGGCTAATAGCCACTGATGGACCTCTGCTCCATATGTTTATCCAATTCCCTCTTGAAGCCGTCCATGCTTGTAGCCGCCGCCACCTCCTGCGGCAGGGAATTCCATGTGTTAATCACTCTCTGGGTGAAGAAGTACTTCCTTTTATCCGTTCTAACCCGACTGCTCAGCAATTTCATGGAGTGCCTATGAGTTCTTGTAGTGTGAGAAAGGGAGAAAAGTACTTCTTTCTCAACCTGCTCAGCTGTTACAGAGAAAGATAGCTAGGCACCATCTGTGCATTGGTAGCACCATATTCCGAATCCCAATAATCTCTCCGAGGCATTTCATGCCGATGCTACACAACCGGGGGGGGGGGGGGACGACACACGACACAAGAAGTATCTTGGAGAGATTCCACAGCACAAATACCATGGAGTTGAGAAGCAGCAGACCCCCCCACACACCCCTTCAGGAATCTGTCAACCAAGTAAGAGCAAAGTCACTGAAACATGGCGCCCAGACAGTGTTTCCAAAAGGATACTGTAGTCAATGGTTCTGAAAGACGCCGACAGGTCCAGGAAAATAAAGAGACACACAGTCTCACCATCACTCTCCCAGAGAAGATCTGTCAGGGCAACCGCTGCCATTTCCATCCCAAACCCAGGCCTGATTCGGTCTTGAAAGGGGCATAAACAATTCAGCTCCTCCAATAGCACCTGAAACGGCACCACCATCACCTCCTTGGGGTCCTCATCCAAGAGTGGAAAGCTGGCAACCAGGTGGCGGCAATGCTCCCTCTAAGCTGTGGAGTCTTGTGAGGAAAAATTCTACTTTGTGAGCTGCTGACATTAAAGTTGTGAGCGAGCGATTTGGCTACTGCATAAATCAGTTTGCTCTGGAGCCGCCCTTCCCGAGCTAAGACGAAAATTTGTGAGCCGGAGGCTAAAAAACTGTGAGCTAGCTCACACTAACTCATCTTAGAGGGAACACTGGGTGGCACTCATTTGGGTCCAAGAGCACCCTGTTCAGTTCTCACAACCACCTCCTCCAAAGCAGTTGGAATTACACTTTCCCAAAGAGAGTCATTTATTACTTCCTGGGCCCAACTGACTTAACCTGGCCCAACTCAGAACTATTGGCCATGAAGGGCAAGGGCCGAGCCCTAGACACAATGGGCTGCACACTTTTAAGCAGCTTTCTTTTCCACTTCATCAGACCCGATGCAACTCGAACCAGACTGGATTCCAGTAGCACATTCCAAGACTTATCTTACTCAACCATGGCAGTCTAAGTTGCAGTAAATGTGAGTGATTTTATCTGCAAAATGTGTTGCAGAAGAATAACCACAGAACTACATGTTCTCTAGATCAGCCTCTGCAGGAGCTTGAGATCAAAGTCCTCTCATAACCTGGGAAGCATCCACACTGTATGAATGATACAGTGAAGAAGACTTAGTTAGCCACGGTGGCTCAGAGGTTAAGTCACTGAGCTGCAGCCCAGAAGGTCTGTAGTTTGGCAGATCGAGACCCGAGTGCCGCGTGATGGAGTGAGCTCCCATCTCTGACTCCAGCTCCTAGCAGTTCGAAAGCAAGAAATTGCAAGTAGATTAATAAGTACCACTTCGGTGGGAAGGTAACAGCATTCCATGCGCCTTGGCGTTTAGTCATGCTGGCCACAAGACCACGGAAACGTCTTCGGACAGCGCTGGCTTTTCGGCTTGGAAATGGAGATGAGCACCGCAACCCTAGAGTTGGATTCGACTAGCTTTCAAGCAAGGGAAACCTTTTTTTCTCTACCTTAAGGGATCTCAAAGCATTTTACAATCGCCCTCCCTTCCTCTCCTCTCCCCACAACAGGCACCTTGTAAGGTAGGTAGGGCCAAGGGAGTTCAGAGAGAACTGTGACTGGCCCAAGATCACCCAGTAGGCTTCATGTAGAGGAGTGGGGAATCAAACCTGGTTCTCCAGGTCAGAGTCCTTCCCTCTTAAGCACTATACCACGGTGGATCTCCACAGTGGAGAAGTGAGCTCACCATAATGCACTCCTACTCATGTTCAGTCAGATTCACCACAAATTTTCTTCCACAGTAAAACTTGCACGTACAGTTGCATTACTGTTTTCCAATAGTACTCTAGTTGGAACAGTAACCAATGAGAAAGCTGCAATATATTTTTTAATGAAATTGCACAGCAAGAGTGGAAACTGAATTAGTTGCAAGGAATACAAAGCTGAAATATGCATCAAAATAATGCAAACAAGTTTATTAAGTACCTAAAATGCTGCTAACTTCCTGTATCAGAAAGATAAATTGTTACCATCAGAATATTAAATGTTCTAAGGATGGTGATTATGGGAGACAAAAAAATTACAGCTTAATTAAACTTCTTTGTAACATGTAACCAATTACATAAACCACCATCTAACCATCATCAAACAAAAAGGATATATATGCTGATGAAACAAAATAGAGGCTTGCTTAATCATAATGTTAGCTGCAGAGGTAAATGAGATTGCCTTCAGAGAAAAATTGTGGGTTTTGCCTTGATGTTTACGTGTCACATTCATAGATGTAGTGCAGTAGATGCAAGAACAATTTATGGTCCTAACTATACTGTGTTCACTTAGCGGTGGGAATGCTCACATTCCACCACATGACAATTACAAATTATTAGGTACACACCAAAAATTAGAACCTTTACAACATGACACCTGAATTTTCAATCCAAAACATTCCAGGCGATGCAAGTACTTATTTGTCATTTGGGCATTAGTAGTTCAGAGAAAGTAGCTCTGACAAGTATGGCAGATCCAAGCACATTTAGGATTGCCACTTGTCCTCAAAACAGTTCTAAGTTTGTAATTTGTTGTGTGTTTTCCAAAACAACTCTGGAAAAATAAGCCATAAAAACAAATCACTTTATAAAACTAAATGCCTCTCACTTTTTCTACCCTAATTTTAAAACATAAATTCCCCTTTGAAAATGCATTCTTTATTCTTCCAAGGCAAAAAAAACCCCTTCACAGCTGCCGCCCCCGCCCCCCCTCGCAACAAATTCATATGCCATACTGAAAGACTGTACAGATTTGAAATTCGAGGAATTCCCTTTCCAAAGCAAGTAGTTCTTAAGGAACAATATTGTGCAGAATCAGGTTCTGAGCCAAGAGAGGTACAGGCAGAACTTTACACCAGACAGACATACAGACATACTTGTACCCCCGCCCCCATCCTATTGATATCATTTCAAGCAGAATATGCCTCAGTCCAACTTCATTTTAAACCTCCAAGTCTGCATGAAACTTCACCAGGTCTACCCAGGAGTTTAGGTTTCTGCATTTCTCTGTTTTGGACTGAACTTTCTTCAGTGCTAAAAATTTAGAAAGCTCTCAGACTATGTACTGTGTTTTATCTTCCTTCACCAGGACATGCAAAAGTATTCAGCAAAGCACTCCATGTTCTTGACTAACACACTTCCTAATGAAGGTAGAAAAAGAACACCGGGTAACAAATCTGGAATATTACAGAGCAGTTTCCTGTAGAGAGACAAGGTACTCAGGTCAGCTTATCTTGCAAGCTTTACTGTGGGGGATTTGGGGGGGGGCACGCAAATGAACACAGTACATGACCCAGGGAAGAGCACTGTAGCGAAATCACTTCGCCTGCACAACTCGAAGATGCCGAGATCTGAAAAGTTTCGTGCAACAACTGCGGCCCAAAGAAGAGGCAACAACAGATTCAAAGGGGAGGATAACCAATACCCTGAAGCAAGGAAATAGCACAGAGGCCATGTGTGTGCACACAGTGTTATCCAAATATGTTGTGGAGCCATCCTGATAAAGAGATTAGGCGTGGAGATTCCAAATTACACATGACAGTCCTTGCATGGACTACAAAGGGGCCCTCGCAGACTGGGTTTGCCACTATATGGAGTGCAAAAGCGGAATGGGGGGAAGGGAGCCCCCAAATGCAAAAGGAGGGGGCAGACTCCCCGCCCCACCCCCGCTCCTTGACTTCTGCTTCCTTTGCCCCTTCCAAAGCAGCCCGACACCCCCCACCCCGCTTTCCCCCTGAACTCCCCTAACATACACAAGGGCCCATGTCCCAGCACATTTAAGTAGAATGCAGCCTTCCCCATGTCCAGACTTCACACCCCAAACCCACAATTCATCTGTTATTGGGGGAAACAAGGTTTACGCCCCACACACCCTGTCTCAACTCCAAAAAAAAACCTTTACAATACATGGGGGGGCGCCTCTCCTGTTCCACAAAAAGCCTCCACCCCCCACCCCAGTCTATATAGAACCAATCAAGGACATTTATTCCTAGCTCATTTTAACAGCACCCCCCTCCCCCCAAATCCATTAAACAACACTATGTGGTTTAATTGCAAGGAAGTATCACACAGCGAGGCCATGTGCATCTCCCCACCCCCACCACAAAGGAAACTGTGCTGGAAAACCTGCCCCCCCCCCACACCCCTTTAAGTATTTCATTTGGGGCACCCATCCCCCTCTGCAAACACATTCTCCAAGACAAGCAGGGGGGAGGGGGGGAGTTGTGGGGAGGGGGGAGCCCCCACAGCCCACCCTCTTTCCCCCTCACAAAAACCCTTCCCTTTCCACTTTCGAGCCACCTCATAATACATATTTTTTAAAGGGGGAGGGAGGAAGAATCTTCCCAACTCTAGTTCCTCAGGCCCCCCCCCATCCCTCACGAAGGGGCTCGAGGCTCCCCCCCCTCCCCAGAAACAGAAGGGGGGGGCACATCAGGAGACCGTATTCATACACACACACCCGTTTTTAAACCCCCAGCGACAAAGGGGCAAGAGCGAGATTCTCCTCTGCTACTTCCCCCTCCCCGCCCGCCCCATAACCAGGGCAGATGTGGGGTTCACGTTTCCTCCCCCCCCCCCCAAAATTGCACACCCCGG